CGCCTGTCCCGCCCCCCCCGGGGAGCGTGGTAGCGCCCGGGCTGGGCGAGGGGCTGTGGGGCGAAGCCACTTTGCACCCGAAAATGACGTCATTCCTAGCAGTGACCTCAGGGCATTTATTTGATTCGGTATGCAGAAACGGTTCGCAGCGTATTTCTTACTTCTACTAAGAAGTAATAAAGTCCAATGAGAAGAGTAAGTGCAGCTTTCTGTTGTGATGGGTATTTCCTTTATTTTAGGAATTCAGTTTTGTATCTTTCTGCAACAGAAGAGGTTGCCGCTGACGGCGTGGCGGGGCTCTGCAGGTTTAAAGTCTTGGCGATGCTCCTAGCTCACCTGCTGGCAGCCAAGTGGCCTTGTCCCTGGATTTGAGGAGTTCCATGTGTATCATCGTGCCTCCTCCTCATGTTTGCCAACCCCTCGTTTGAAGATTTCCATGTTCTCAGTAATACCTTGGAAGCTTAGGTGACGTGGGAGACTGTGCAATTGTAGCACTCAAACGTTTTGATTTCAGAGCCCCTTGCAGACTGGTGCTGATGCCGTCTTGTGCAGCAGCAAGTGATGTTACCATTGTACAGGTGAGAAATTGAGGCAGAAGTCCTAGCAAGGGGGAATAACCTTATTTTTTTTTAACACTTTGGACATCAGAATGCTTTCTTGCTTGGTTAAATACAGCTGGATGTCCAGGTTTGTGGTCAGAATGAGACAATACAGGTCCCAGTCGGTTTGCAGGTCCCAGCGTTTCTTGCTCAGTGCCACGCTTGCAGAGGAGGTGGCTGAAGCATTACAAGAATATCCCCGTATCCTGTGGTTCTCGGGGCTAACTGCATGTTCCCTTGCCAGGACTCTAATCGCCGATAGGACCTAGATGGGATCGATGAGATCTATTTCTGACAGTGGTTAATTAAAACCTCTGAGGATTACAGGTAAGTCAGTGTGTTCCTTGCTAGTAGGTGTCTAGGAGCACCCGTGCCATCTACCTGTCTCACTGTTTAAGCAGTCCCAGTTGGCTTTTGGATTGGGGGTAGCTGTTTGCACTTCTGCTCCTTGAAATCACATTGATACCTGAATGCTGCAATATAAATACCAGGAAACAGTGGTGTTTCTGCACATTGTACAGACTTGCCATTGCTATACATCCGTTTCCTTTCCACATCCAAACAGTTTCTCACTTATTGCAATGTTTTTGTCTCTTGGATTCTTCTGTGTTGTTTCCACATATCCTGTTACATATTGCATGTTGGACTTCTGATTGACAGCTGAAAGATAAACACACATTTGTTACTGATTTTGTAAAGGGGGTGTACCTGCATGGTCTAAATATTTGATTTAAAAATATTTGAAAAAGAAGGAAAGTTTTAGAAATATTTTGACAATAATCATGAGCCACTCTCTCTTTTAATGCAGTTTAGGTGCTGCAATAAGCTCATGTTGAAAGATGGCAAAGTTCCCTAATTTTTCCCATGTGGGCTTATTATTAAACAAAAGCTGCCTCTGTTTAGACAAAAATCCAAGTGCGGAGCAGAAATACCTCAGCTGAGGAGGCTGACAGACCTGCCTCGTTCTGTTGTCACTAACTGAGGACAGGACTGATGGAGCACCGATGTTTTATTGGTGGTGAAACCAGATAAGAGCCATTCAGGACAGTTTAACAATAGTAGTATTTCTGCTACATACACATACATATTGTTTCAAATAGTGTTTCAGTAGATTATAGAAACTAGATAAACCCATTGTGATTATCCAGTCTAACCTATCAAATAAAAAGCAATGATTCTGCAACACTCTTGCTGAATCTATAATATCGGTGGTGGACCTCCAGGCATGAAAGGTTTGGGTTTAGAATGTTCAGGTTTAGAACGTGCAGTCTGCAAATATCTTTGTATAGTAAAATCAACTGTAATCTGCTCTGGGTGTGGTCAGTAGCAATGTTCTAACAGGAATTAGTTTATGTTGGTTAAAGCTTTTTACCATATCCATTCTTCTCGTGGCCTGGACTGTCTTCATTAGATTTGGATTTATAACTCTCCAGTGTCTGCTCTGAAACATCATTTTCTGTGCAGAAAACAAATGTAGTTAAGATGATGAGATTTTTCCGTGACTCTTTCTCACTCTCTGCCTTGAACATAAAAATCCTGAGAGACTAGTTACAAAATGGGGTTCAGTCATCCTGACCATCTAAGAGATATGCTTAAGACAAAAATTTTCATCGGCTTTTGTGGCACCTCCTGCCAGTTGAAGCGTGGCCTGAGGCTGCCAGTTACAGGGACTCTTCAACAGTTTTTTGCAACAAGTCACAGTCACTGTCCATGGAAGAAGGACATTTAATCGGTGGCTGAGGAGCCGCGTCTTATCTCTGCTTAACAGGCTTCTCAGCTCTCCAGCCCTCTGAACAAAGCAGCATGAGCAGTTGCTCGAACAGGGCCACCACCCACCTCTCTTCCACACTCCATGAGCTTTTTTCAACTTCCTTATAAAAAGCAGGACAATGATGAGCAGCGCGAAAATCAGAGCAGCCACCAAGATTGGCAGCAAGAGATTGTTCTCCTTCTTTTTGATGCCTTCAGATTTCAGATCTTGGTCTGTAAAAGAGGCAGATGTATGTTTGTGTTGTTAAATAGCTTCCTGTGAGTCTCTGTTAATCAAGACATGATATCCTGGACTAGGACAGATGAAGTGGGAGAGCAGAAGTCACCTTATAGGACTTACTTTTAGGATGTGAGGGCAAATTTTTTCTTCTTGTATGAGCAAGAAAAACTGACTGAGATCAGTGGACTTGTGCTCTAGCACAACAAAGAGTAAAATGTTTTTTTTTTTTTATAAACAAAACAGATAAAAATGGTTGTGTTTCTGTGGTCTCAAGATTGCAAGCCAGCATTTACCCTAGTGTACTGACAAAAGGTTTGGAGGCGGATATGTGGTCAGAGAGAACCAGCTTTGTGTAAGAAAGCATGTTTGGAAGCTGTCATTAAAGAGTTCGTACCGAAGGTGATGATGGAAATCTCAGTTACATTGTCACTTGGCAGTGGGGCTTCTGTCCTGGAAATCTCCTCTTCTGTGACATTGCCATTGAACGCTGTTTCAGTCCCTGGAGGAATGGAAAAAAGAGCAATATTACTCTGAAGGGCAAAGAAATGTGTATTTCCCCAGCAGCTTTGAAGCCCAGGGCACCTGGTACTGTAGCAGAAAGGGACTTCTGGAGCCCTTGACTTAAAGCTCTGTGTTCACTTCCTTAATGCTGTATTTTATTTTAATCTGAAGACCAGCTAAGCTTTATGAACTGAAAATCCTCAAGAGTCTCTTACACGTTGTTGAACTCAATGGCTCCCATTTACAGCCAAATTAAAACAAAGCTGAGCTTTGACCCTTTGGTTATTTGGGGGCTCTGTCTGTCCATCAATTTGCTTCTCTTGCTTGCAAAACCAGGAATGACCATGTATCCTTTTCCTTAAAGCAGATAATTGTTTTGGTATTCATATCCCTAACCGCT